GCGGTGCTGTGTTGCAAAATGTGCTATGCAAGAAAACGGTTGCTGCGATGCTGTGTTGAAAAATTTCTGAATGCATGCAGGGTCGCGGCCCTTACGCAGTGTTCCTATATCGTTTCCCATTTGAGCCACCGGTGCGGCGCGGTGCTATCATGAGAACTCATAGAAAACATTGCTGACTAAAAATACAAACGCACAGCGAGCAATGATCTTGTTGCTTTGTCGAGTTGTGGTTCTACTCCAGTCCAATTGGTCTTTCTTCAAGAAACTCGATTAGGTTCGATTGCACAATCTACGTTGTTACCCTTCCTGAAACAGGAAGGATGGAACATTGCTGTTGGATACCAACCACCAGTGAAGCGAGTGAATACCAAGCACTTTGTAGCACGTCCTTCCCATGGCGGTCTTGCCGCCATTTTTCGTGGGATTACCTGTTGAAGCTTCATTTGCGAAGTCCGGGTGGAAATCAGGTTACGGTTTAGGTTCCGGTAAGACCCGTATTGATTATGTTCTGAACAATCGCAAAGCGTCTTGCTTGTTTCAGTCTGTTCGATACGTTAGGGGATGTTCTTTCCCAGGACATACACCGGTTCTTTGTTCTCTTAACGTCAACATCCTCTCTGAACCAGTATGGGTTTTTAAACCCCACCCAACATGGGTTTTGCCCGACAAACCTACTTCTGACGAAGAATGGGCTCGTAGAGAGTCTTTGTGCCAACCTGTGTTTGAGCTCCACGCTGATGCGCTGTTAAAGGCCGCTTCGAAATCTGATGTAGAAGGTACTTGGAATCTAGCATGCCGCATCGCTACTGAAATGTTAAACCACATCTCCCAACAAGTACTTCCTTCGCCGCGCGGCAGCCTTCCTGGCTTTCGCAAAGTCCCATTGTGTCAAGACGAATCGAAACCTTGCAAGTTCTCCAAGGCCCATAAGATCGCCCGCTGCAAAAGGTTACTGAGGGAGCTATTGTTTCAAGCATCGCATTGGCAAAGTCCTGACCGTGAGGACTGGCATAGGGATTTGCATCGTACTGTCCGGAACCTTTGTTCTCTTCTCGTCCAGTTAGAGGTTTCGGGAACCGTCAACCCGTCCAGTGCCTCCCAACTCTCGGATTCCTGCAATCAGATTCTGTTGTATATGCGTAAGTATGAAGACGATCTTCTTCGATCCGATAAAGAGGATAGACTACGAGCCTGGAAAAAGAAGCTACAAATCTCCTCTAGGAGTGATAAGAAAGCGGTACATCGTTGGCTTAAATGGTTTGGATCTGGTCCCCCTAAATTCTTTAAGCTTCCCGATGGTAGCTTCACCGCCTCCCCCAACGTCATGCTGAATATGATCGAAGATCATATGCAAGATATTTACAGCCATCATGCGGATGTTGATCCTGTTGATGCCTTGGAACAGTTTATGGCGAAATATGGGGATAGGGTCGAGTCTATCAAAGTTGATGCTGACTTACCCCAACTCAATCATAATGACTTGTTCAAGTTATTTCAGAAGCGTAGTGCAGATAAAGCTTCCGGTTTGGATGGATGGACAACCCGAGAGTTACTTCAGCTCCCCCCGGTAGGATGGATTGGGCTTTGTTTATCTATGCAGATCGCGGAAGCTGTAGGCTCATGGCCCCAGGTGTTGCGCATGATTTCGGTCACCAACATTGCAAAAAAGACGGTAGTTTCTTCACCCGAGGACACACGCAGTATTGGTATTTCGTCTGCAATATACTCTACTTGGTCTTCCCTTCGGTTTAAGCAGCTAGGGTATTGGATGAATCGGGTCTGTCCCATCAACTTATTGGGTGGTTTGGCTGGCCGTTCCGCAGATCTTAACGAAGTGGAATTATCTCTTGAACTACGTGACCCATTCTCATACGACGAGCTCGTTGCGGTGTTTCTTGATCGGTGGAAATGTTTCGACCTTGTATTGCCGCACGTCGCTATGAACATAGCGGGTAGTTTGGGCTTGCCACAGCAAAGTGTTACAGCTACGCTAGGCTTTTATCACAACCAAGTCAAGATTTTTAAGTTGGGCACCTTTTTTGGTAAGAAGGTGTTATGTACTAATTCTGCTGTCCAGGGTTGCTCTATGTCTGTACTGATGATTAATAGCATGTTCGCAGTGCTCTCTTCGTACATGACACAAGCTTGCCCATCAATCAAGTTTAGCACTTTCCTTGACGATTCCAAAATTTGGACCCGATTTAACGACATTACTGGCTTGGTTGAAGCGTTCCAGGCAATAGAGGACTTTGACACAAGCGTTGGTCAAGCTTTGAATGTTGACAAAACCATTATTGCCACACGTAGGAAGAAAAAAGCACAACAGTTTTTACTCAAAGTCGGTAGAGCTTGTAAGTTTAAGAGAAGTGCCACGTCGCTAGGGTTTAGTCATCAGTTTGGCAAGAAACGTTCACCCTGTTTTCAAGATGAGCGAGTTTCTAAAGCCAAATCTGCTATGTCCCGAATCGCACAGCTTCCCCTCGACCCCACTGCTAAAGCCGTTCATGTCCATGCTAATGGCCATAGTAAGTGGGTTCATGGATCCGAAACCCAGGGTCCATCCGCTAAAGCTTTACGTAGTTTGAGAACCGCTACTGCGAAAGTTTTCCATAATAAAGGGAATTCCATGAGGTGTCCTTTCATGCTATTTGCAACTTTACATGATCCATGGCTTGACCCTTTCGCAAAGTGGGTACAATTCGCCATGCTGAAGCTTCGACGTTTCTCGTATTTGCACCCTGACCTGGTTCGTGAGATTCTCACACGCGTTCGTAACAGTACGGCCCCTACCTTGTCCACTGCAAATGGCATTGTAGCTGTAGTTTCGTATCTATTCGCGCAGTTGCAGTGGCAAGTGCGTGATCCTGAAAACTTCCTGTTGGAACTAGCAGATGGCCAGTTGTTCTGCATCAAGAACGGGTCTAAAGAATCTTTCTTAGACGAGCTTTCCAGAGATGTGCGAAGGTATTTGATAAATAAGTCTCCCCAGCGCTATGACAACCCAACCCCTGGTACCTACAAAGTTCCCGACGTGAATCTTACCAGGTTTATTTTGGATACCAACTTTTCTAGAGATGAGGACTTCGCTTGTCTTCGTAAGTACATCGGAATGCTTCCCGGCAACATCGCCTACACACGTACTTTATTGTCAGCTCTTATATCTGGGTCGATCTACAATGGTCACCGGTATAAAGCTGCGGGACTTCTTACTGACGCATGCTGCCCACACTGTGGAACCGATGAAACACACATACACATGTTTTGTGAATGCCAAGATGTCAAAGACTCTTGCCCAACGCGAGGGGATGAGCCTTTGATGTCTTGGCTTACTGGAATAATTTTCGAACCCGCTTCACCTCGCCCTCAAACAGTCCCTTTGAGCCAGTGGGTGCTGCCTACAGTGGCTGAACGTTGGCAACCTTGTTCGGAAGTCTTTGTGGATGGCAGTGTTGCTCATCACAAGTGGTCTTCCATTAGAGCCGGTGCCGCATCAGTCGTAGTGCCTGGTCAGTTCAAGCAGTCAGTTGCCTTTAGCGGCTCTTCCGTTAATTCGTTTAGGTGCGAACTGTTTGCTTTAATTCTCGCCATCCATGTAACAGAAGGTGACATTATCATTGCGTCCGATTGCGCCAGTGTTTTGCGTCGCGCAGAGTTCTTGAAAGCTCGGGGTTTTCAGTGGGAGTGCACTTTCTGTTTTGAATATCCTGATCTTTGGGATCTTTTCTTGCATGTCGCCAGGAACCATCAGGGTAGCATTCGTTTCATCAAGGTAAAGGCCCATACTGATGGCAAGTCTTCACAGCCTTCGGCGCTTACGGAGGGCAATGAAGCAGCAGATGCTTTGGCAAAATCTACTGCCAAAACACTCTCATCTAGGCTAGTCGCCGACTATATGCCATCCTTACACAAAGCAATTGAACTCCAAGTTCATTTTGTCACTACTCTCATCAAGCGTAGTGGTGTCTGCGAGTTGGCGCCGTTCGACGAGGCTGACGCTCCAATGACACCCTTAACTACGCAGACTGTATGCACATGTAAACCGCTGACACGTCTTTTCAGTAAGCGACCCCGCAAATGCTACAAAGCTTGTCACCTAATCGGGCACACGGTTTTAGTCGGTGAGGTCGAGGATAAGGTACTTGCTTTATGTAGAGCCGGTCAAACCATTCCTAACAACTTGATGCACTGCTTGCGGCAAAGATATGTCTCCTTCTTCGCCAGTGTCACCCCGAATGTGGCTCACTTTTATAGTCACCCGGATCTAGATTTTAATGCCTTGGTTACAGGAAGGAGTGGTATTCCCAATAATGCAGCTCAAGCCCTTGCATCGTTTTTGAGCGAGAACAGATGGGCCTTTAGTCCCACTGCAGACGGGCCGCGAACAACGTGGCTGTCGGTTCTCATCGAGTTTCTGTCCATTCACTGATTCTTTCCTGGTTGGTTAACGTATGGTATGTCCGCTAATATTCTTATCTCTCGGTTCAGGTCTCGCTTTGTGAAGCTTTGCAAAGCCAATTCAATCTCCCTGATTCCAGCATCACATATTCGAACAGAAGCATCTTTCGGCATGACAAACCTCAGCGGATTTTACGGATCTGCGCACTGCAAGAACATTCAGCATCAGCTTTTCGTCTTTCTACAAGCTGGCTTGTTCTGCAATCTATTTACTCCTGACGGTTCCAAGCTGAGCACTAAGTGGGTGCCTGACCTTGCGCAGTTCCGCAATATTCCGTGCTATCAATGATTATCCTTTCCGATAATTCGCCGAATCGGGCTTTACCTTAGTATCGTCGACAGGTCGCGGCCTTAGACACACATTGCAGCAAAAAAGGTTAGCGTCCCATCCTTGCCTTTTCCATAGCGGGCGTGCCCTTGCCCAGCTCGGCGCGCACGCGCCTATATAGCGTCCAGAGGCGAAGGAAGTAGGCCTGTTTGCCCTTCGGCAAACTGTTAGCGTGGGCCAGGGGCGGTGTTGTTGGCTGGCATGCCTCCCGCCTCCCTTAGCGCCTTCTCGGTCTGCTGTAGCGGTAGCGAGTACCGCAGCATCTCCATATCGGCGTATTCAGTGTCCAGGTGTAAGCCATGACGTCCGGAGCTTTGTTAGCGGGGAGCTGCATTAGTGGCGCTCCTCTCCCTGCCGCGCCTCTCGGTAGCTGGTGGCCAGGAGGGCGTAGCGACCCGGGAGAGAAGAAGTCATCGATGATGAGGGCCTGGACGGGCTGTCATGAAGTAGGGGCTCCGCCAACGGAGAGGCGTGAAGTCTCCAGAGGCGGGACCAACACATTCCGGAGCGACTTTCGAGGAGGGACCGCCAATTGATGGTAGAAATCCTTTCGGTCCGTGACCGAGATGAAGCCAAGTTGATGCACAAGCCCGTGAGCTGCGGGCCGCAAGGCAAAGCAGATGAAGGCCCTGCCAAGGAACCTTCACAAAAGTTCCTGCCGCGCGAATCACCTATCTGTCTGTCGACGTGGGCAGACTTGAGTGCGTTGAACACGCGCACTCCCTGAAAGGAAGGTGTTGGCTCGGAACACGACAGCCTGAGCAGGCCAAGGGCATCCCAACGCGGGGCCAGGTCAAAGATCTTTGCCGAGGATTCACGGGAAAGGTCTGGAACCTCCGCTGGCCCCGGACGGGGCAAGACTTCAGAAGAAGCAGAAAAGGTCATCCAGGTGATCAGAAGGATCCCAGTTTGCGCTGCCCGAGAGCTTCAGCCTAGCCGGGTCGAGGCTACGGTAAGGGCGCAAGGTGATCGAAGGAAGCAGCTGCGAGATGGAACTTAGCTGGTCGGCCAGATGGGCCGTCGTCACCCTCGAGGCCGAGCAGGAGGCGCTGCAGCCCGCACTGGCTCGGCCTGTTGTGGTTCCTCTTCCTCCTCCGGAGCATTGTTAAAAGGCCAGCCGGTCGGCGGCCTTTGTGCGAAGCCATGCCTTGCAGAGGGTGACGAGCTGAGAGCCTTGAAGGAAAACCTGCGGCGTGGTCGGAAGGAAAGGCACGGGCTCTTCGAGAGAGTTCGGGTCGAAGGCCATCACAGGAACCTCGGAGCCATCCTCCTCTTCTTCGACGGCCGGTACCATCAGGCGGTCGAGCGGCCGATCATCTCGTGTGTCTGGTGGCTCTCTGCCCCTTTTGCAAAAGACTGGGAGGGATCGATGAAAAGCCTCCATCTCATAGCAACACCGGGATGCACAGCACTTGCCGCCGGGAGCCAGCCACCGGAGGGCGGGCCAGGTGAGGGAGTAGGGTCCCTTTCGGAATTTCGGAAGCATAAACCAGGGCAACGGCCGCCATCACGGAAGAATGCGGGGCGATTGGCAACCGGCTGCTGCAGCGTAGATCTGACCTTCTCCCTGGGTAGGGAACCCGTGACACACAGTGTTGGTGCCCGGATACTGGCACCTTCCCTGCCTCAATCCCTGCGTTCCAGGCACGCCTTGCACGGTCCAGGCGCACAACAGGAGCAAGACCAGACACCAGATGCAGCAAGCTCTCACGGCCCGTCTCAGCAGGGGGCCTGAGGGACCTAAACCTGAACTTAGGGCAGGGTGCAACCCCAACGGCGGGTTCAGGGGCCCGAGGGGAACCAGTTGCCAGATGGAGCTGCTCGATAGCTTCTGTCAGTGACTCTGTCCACCTCAGGCCGGCTTTCACTCATGCAGGAAGCCCGCAAGCCTGGAAGACACAGGAGGCCCATGGCAGGCCCGGACTGGAGAAGGAGTCGGGAAGGACCGAAAGAGGGTATCCCGAAAGAAGAAAAGGGTGGCCAGGGCTCCGAAACCAAAGCCCGAGGAAGGTGGCGAGGGTCAAGAGGAGTAAAGAAGAGCAGTGCGCCGGGCACCCCAAACCCCACCAACCACTCAAGGACCCCTTTACCACAATGTCCAAAACCTGGGGGACCCAGGACATGTTACTTGAGCGACGACGGCAACCGCATTCACCCTTTCAGAAACAACATCAACTTCAATCACATCAGCACCAGCACCTCATGCCATACAAAAGACCTCCTTTGAAAACCCTTCGCCGCACTTTCCGGAGCGAAGGAAAGGGCTTCTGAAGTCGGAGCACATTGAAGGCCTTCTTCTTCGTCGCCTTGTTACCACCAGAGGTGCTGGCAATGCTCTCCAACTCCTGTGAACAGGTTGCAGGACAGCCCCGGACTCTGTGAGCTGAGGCGAAGCCTTGGGCACTTCTTGGTTTGCATCGCGGAGGACTTTGCAAAGGTCACCTGCGTGCGCCTGCAAGCGGGTTGTGTTCCCGCCCTCGCACCCTGCACCCCGCTGCACGTACTTCGGTGACTTCGGTGCCTTCTCATCTTGGGCCCCCTTCGACTCTGGACAGAAGAAGCAGATCGCCAAGCCTCGGTCAAGCGGCGAGGTCACGGCCCCGCCCCAGCCCCGCCAGCCAGGGCCCCCGCCTTTCTTGCCTGCTCGGCCGGTTCGACCGATACGATGCACGTAGTCCTGGGCCGCTTTGCTCGACCCTACTCCTACCGCCCATGCCGTGGCTCCTCGATGGTCAAAGGGAAAGTATAATTGATGACCAGCTCCACGTCCTGAATGTTGCACATGCCAACAAAGCTGCTGGAAGAAAACGGGCATCATGAAAGGTCGCCAGGGCCCACAGCAAGGGGCAAGCTGCTACTCTACATTGCTGGGTTGATGCAAGCATTACGACAGTGAAAGACTCCTGGACATCCAGACCTCGGCTGGCAACGTCAGTGGCGATAAGTGGAGTCCTTGGCGACACGAAGCTTGGAGAGCGGTGCACGTCCCCAAACCGTCCAGCCACTTCTTCGTCGCCTTGAAGTCTGCGATGGCCTGGCACTAACAGACTGACAGCCACCGTTCACATGACATCCATGCCTGCGTTCTTTTTTCCTGGGACAAGTCCTTGGACGGACGTAGAAGCTGCTTGAGTCGCTTGAGGCTGCGAGCGGCGAACCTGGGGACCTAGGGCCTGCGCACCCTGCAATGCAATGACCTTTTCGTAGCCCTTCTCCCACCTCGGCCAAGGGCCAAGGAAGCAAAGGAAGCAAAGGAAGCAGAGCAAAAAAGGCAAGGTGCAACAGTGCAACAAGACTTCACTGAGGCACGGGGCAAGAAGTTCTCCAGCCAGGCCGTCTCCTTTGAAAAGGCTTCCCGCCGACTGAAGAACAGCTTCAGGCTGCCCACCTTCTTGTACAAGCCAAAGATGATCACCTGTGGTTGTAACACAGTGTTTTGTCTCTGGAACCGGCATCCAACGTTGTGAGCCTTCTTGTCGGGACTGAAATGTTTCTTCAAATGTTGAAGTAGACGTGCCGGCTTGTCCTTCTGGAACAAGAAGCACCACATCAAGAGAATCTCCGCCGAGCGTCCCCGTCCTTCTCGTTGCTGATCACCTCGGGAAAGCAGAAAAGGCAGAGCCGCGAGTGTCGCGAGCCTGGTTTCGCCTCCACGAGCTGTCGAATGGCTGTGTTCGCCACCATGCCCTCATCGACAGAGCCGATGCCCACCTGGACAACGGCGGGGTGAAGCCTCTTTCTGCCCTCTCTGATCTTAGATCTAGCACATGCATGGGCTCGTTCAGGAACTTCGTCGCGAGAGAATGCACCGTGGCCTGGAAGAGAGCAGCGAGAGCCCACGCAGCCACTCTCCGAGTCTCCGAGGCTACGGCAGGCCAAGTGGCACTGAACATGCAGGTCTGCCGCCTCGGGCCGACTTTCAAACACGCCGCTTCCGTTTTCCCAAGTGACCTAGCACGGGATATGCAGCCTTTACCTGCGCAGAACCTTTCACGATCGCTGAGTGCCCCACTTCCCAGCCTCGTGAAGGGAGGGGGGCTGATGCGGGCCGCCTTGCCATTGCCATGCCTTGCCCCAGCCTTGGGCATCTTGGAGATCAACGCTTTCACTGCGTCGATGAAGCCCAGGTCCAGCATCCTGTCCGCCTTGGAGGCAGGAGGCGCGAGAGCTCCGAAAGCAAGAAAAGCATCCGTTCCCATGCTCCGGAGCTCTGCCATGCTCTCCGTCCGCTCGGAGCGGCCCCTTTTCTTCCTTTTGAGCCGCGGCCTGCGCCAGGGCCTTGAGCCGCGGCGTCAGGCGTCAGATCGCAAGGCTCAGGGACTTTCAGGGCCCCTCCAGAACTTCTCCGAAGGTGCTCCAAACGACGCCATCGCCGCCAGGGCGGACCAGGCCCAGTTCCGACTTCCGTCGCCTCGCGTTGCGAAGCTCCGCGTGCTCGGCGCCAGGGCTGGCCCCAGGGCTGGCCCCAGGGCTTCTCGCAGCGACGCTGCTCTGGCTCTCCCGGTCCCAACGCTCCCAACGCTCCCAACTCTGGCTCTGGCTCTGACTCTCGCGAGGCGAGAACGAGCCCGCACTGGCCCTCAGGGAACCCTGCGACTGGGATACCGTCGACTCTGCTGGCGCACTTCCGAAGCTTGGTGTCCTCTTGCGGCGTATCTTCAAGCCTCGTCCGGGCAAGTCCGGTGCCTCCAAAGGGAAGCAACGTCCCTTGTGAGCCCAGTTGGTGGGGTTCCAGCTTGGCTTCCCCTTCCTCCTGGTGTCGTAAAGCTCACAAACAGCTCCGTCTGCCGGCCAGGTGCGCTCGGGATTGCTCACTCGTTCGTTGTCCCACGCATTGAAATCCTTCTGAGGCAAATACCCTGTAAAGCCAAAGCTGGAGTCCGTGTGTGCCCAAGTAACGGGACTCCAGGCCTTGAGGCGCTCGCGGCGCTCGCTCTCTCTCCCGGGGGCATGCAAAGACCGTGATCCAAGGAGGCAAACGCTGGGATCGAGCTCTCGCCCAATCGTGGTGATACGCTTCCATTCCTCAGCATTCGGATGTCTCTTTTCGCACTATAATCGAAATAATGCGACTCTATCACTCTATCATGTTCGTTGCAGCTGCGAGATCCGGTTTCCGGCGAATGCCATCAGAGGCAGCTGCCGGCACAGCACGTGCCGCAAGCGGTTGCAGCGTGGCCGGAGCTTTCTTGGTGTCGGAGATGTGCTTCAAGATCTCCTCAAAAACACGATGCATACTCTCAGCATAGAAACGCTAACAGATTGCTGGCGTGCCTCAAACGACTGCAGAGCTTCCGAGCCTGCACACACGAGCTTGCAAGAGCACAGGTGGAGCAAAGGGAAACCCACGTCAAAGAGACTCTGCAGCTGCGTATCCAAGCCAACCTCAAATCACCCAGTTCTCCTAAACCAAATAATTCTGTCAGCCTACTTTGTGAACACTGATGCGTTCGCGAATGTAGCAGGATCTCGAAGATGCAAACAACAGGGATTTCGTACTAACAGTTCACGATGTGCACGAACGACACGCTTCGATATCATCGTCAGGACCAGAGTTGGGACGATATTCAGAGTTTCGTACACGACAGGCACGGTTCATATGACAGAATGACTGGCACGAAGCGAAGAGAGCGGTACTGTGCTGCTAGCGTATGCCTCCGGGCTCCCTCTGTGTGGGTGCACTGACAGGCATCACCTGCGAATCACGGTGAAGATTCCAGCTTCGGACTTGCAAGCCATGAGACCATAAGACAACTACATTCGGCAACTGGGCAATGGAGTCAAGTCACCGAGGAAACAGCACGGACTACGCAGGACCTGTTACATGGGTCAATGCTTCCGACCGGAACCAGGACGGAGCACAACTTCGCTGCAAGCATGCAGTGCTTGTGTTGCTAACATGAGAAGCAATCTGAAGAGGTGTGACTTGCAAGGAATCGTGTATGCAGGCTATTCTGGCGACTATGCTTGGAGCCCAAAACAAAAAGTGTGCCGGGCAATCAGAGTAAAGTCGAGCTTTCACCGTGCGTGTAGGAATGCCGTGAGTGTAGGCCGACTGAAGGCGCCCCCTGCCCGGCCGCCTCGTCCAGTACGAGATACTGCCTGAGATCGAAAGGCAGCCTACGCCGATCCGGCGACTCGCCGCTGCCGCAGCCACGGCTTCGAGCGAACGCTCCGCTCTCTCTCTCTCTCTCTCTCTCTCTCTCTCTGTCTCCTTTCCACATCTGTGCCTGAAGCTGAAGCTAAGCCTGCGACACGGAGCTCAAGTCCAGCGTCTCCTCTTCCACCAGGTCCTTGCGGCACCACACAGGGTTTCGAAGGGTTCCACGCGGGAAATGCAAAGCCTGCAAGCGTCCAGGCGTGCAAATGGCCATGTCAATGCCCGTCTGGGAAATCGCCTGTGTTCGAAGAGAATGGTGTCTCTCTTGCTCGCCCATGCTCGCCCCAGCCCCATGCCTGTCGTTGATCTCTTTTGGGAACACCACCGTAGATGCACTGCACCGGGTACAGCCCCTGTAAATTGTCCCAGATTCATGGAGACAGGCATCAACTTCGCTGGAGCACCTCTTCGCCTGCTGTGAGCGCCTTCACAAGATCAGTGCAGACCTTGGTCTCGGCCAGATTTGGCTGACACAGCAGCAAAATCCAGAAAGACACCTCCGCAATCTGCATCGCGAGCTCCCTGACAAGACAGAAGCTCTGAGCCGCTGCCGTGGCGCGCTTCGCGCATGTGTCGCCTTGTGGGTGCCATAGCCACGAAGCGTGGCAGAGCGCAGGGCTGCTCGAAGACGTCCAGCTCTCCAAGCCTGCCAAGCAACTTTCCTTCGCTTCCAAATCAAGCTCCTCTTTCCCTTCACTCGTTCTTCTTCCTCCCTTTCTTGACCTCGACATGGACAAGTAGGGAAGAGCGAAAGCAAGCGTCTTGCCGCTGCCCGTCCTGAGCAAAAGCGCAATGCCCTAGAAGAGTTCTGGAGCACCATTGCCTCGCAAGCACTCGCACCATTTCTCGCTGAGTTCCCGACTTAGCGATTCCACACACATCGCTTTTCCTGAGACTTCGACGAAAGACAGGCTGCTAGTGCACAAGCACAATAGCTGAGCCCGGATCTGCATGATTAATGGCCACGTGCATGCCTTATCACAAATCTGCGGTGACGACTCTTAAGTTCACCCTGGGCCAGTTCTGGGCGGAGCACTTGGATGGGTGTGGGATTCTCATACTTGTTCTGACAATACCTTTTGAAGTCTTCGATGCAGCACGAGAAGCTGCAGGAATCCGCGCCTGATCAAGCGCTTCGCAAAGCCCTGGAAGTGAAAGCCTGCTAGCGGGGTGATGTCAATGTCCTGGCTCAAGGCCGGATGGCGTCTTGCCAGACACTTGCTGCTGTGCGGCCGCATGTCCTTGCCCTCAGGAATATGGACCTCAAGTTCCATGTTATATCGTCTCGTTGCGTCGCAATTGCAAGCACAACCAGCCTTGATGTTGTGTTCATCGAAATACGCCTATAGCACATGCCTGCAGAACTCTGCGACTCGCGCGAGAGATACGGGAGCCTTCGCGTCTTCCACCGTCAAAGTCGATTTCAATTTCTTGGCCTGAAGCGTAATCGATTGATCGATTGCTCCAAACAACCACCGACGGCCTGAACGCTCTTGGTCTCGTGGCTCGGTTTGCTGGAAACTTTCCTTTTGCCAGCTGCCATGGCGGCCAAGAACACGTCTTGCACTGTCTTCAAGTTAATGGTACCAAAGATGAACCTCAACTTGGAAGGCGCAGCCAATTCCGGAAGAACGCAAACCAGCTACAGGATGCTGTCCGCGTAAACAAATTCTATCATGCAGATGACGTACACATTGAGTTTGATGGTGCATTGGCACTCCAACATGAAGCTGCCTGAGCAGTAACCTCGCAACCTTGGCTGGTGTTGCTGACGTCAACGTATTATGCGTAACTTCTCGTCAGATGCAAGCCGATCTACCTTGTCAGTAGTGCGTGTCTGTTCTTCCGTCTCTCTCGAATGTACAGGTCGTGTGGACGATTCAGGAAATTTATGTTGCTGGCCTCGATGGCAAAAGATCTCCAACTGCTGGGGCATCAACGCTGAAGCGACGAAAGAATTGCACATGCGAGTTTATGGTACAGTGTGCCGGGAAACCGGAACCAATTCCTGAACTTGGTTCGTTTGCTTGTTTGGTGTGTTTAAGTACCAACACTTTACCGCCCCACTTGGTTCACTTAACTCGTTTGGCTCGCTTGCTTCGCCTGGCTCGATTGGTCTTTTGGTTCACAAGGTCCACGTGTGGCTCACTTGCTCCCCTTGACCCACTCGTCCTCACAGCCTCCAGCATGCAGCGGGCTGCAAGCGTAAGCAAATGAGCAGCAGAAGAGCAACCCCTCTCCACCCCCTCCCGCCCCACTTGGACCACTTGGTCCACTTGGTCCACTTGAACCACGTCGCGCGCACATGAGCCAGTCAGCGAAATGAGCAAGCCCCCACCTCCCCAGCACTGCACTCCCCATCCCCGTTCCCGAGCAAGCACTTGAGCCCTGTGCCCCCGAAGTCCTCCGCACAGTAGAACTCCGGGCAGGTCTAAACAGCAGAATGCTTTTGTTTCCTTGGTCTCCTTGCAAGTTTGTTATTCCCCAGTTGTTACATGGGTATACGAATATTTCCAAGACGGAAAAGTTCATATGGGAACACACTTCATTCCCAATCCCCAATATTCCGACATCGTTCGGGCTCCAATCTTCTTTAGTCGTGCAGCGGGGGCGAAGTCACCGGATTCGGATGGCGAAGACAGGGCAAACACAGCCCAGACGGCAAGCCATCATCCCGCCAGTCTCACAACAACCGTATGGAAAATACGTCGGGTGGGTGGGCGGTTGAAAATGTGTTTATCCTTGTTTGCCAATCCATTCAAATCATCCCAAGTCAACCTGTGAAAGTTTAAACCCTTATACCAGTATACTTCTTATAACCACGGCGCGAGCTTGGATTCTTTTCTCACACTGAAGCTCCGCTGTCGGGCTGTCTTGAGCCTAGGTTTGACCTTCGGTGAAACACTGGATTCCTGTGTGAAACGTTTTGCCTGGGCGGCTTTCCGCCCTCACTCTCGCTACTTCAAACCGCAAACTTTGCTGAGGTTTAAGTCAGTTCTTCTTCTCCTTGTTGCCTTTTCTCGGCTCGCTCTTGATCGAAACTTGAATCGCTTTTCCTCGTTTTCTTGTTGTCCTTTTTCTTTTCCTTGTCCTTGCTGTCCTTGGACTTATCGGTCTTCTTCTTCTTCCTTTTGATCTTTTCATCCTTTTCATCTTTCTTCTTTTCATCAGCTGTCTTCTTCGGCTTCACTGCTTCTGTGCCCCAACTGCTCTTTGGTGCATAGCCTTTTGTTGACTTTTCTGCTTCTTTCATTTCCTTGATCTCGTCGGGGAGTTTGTACTCATTGCTCTTCACGTAATCTTGGACGTCAGCCTTGTGGTGACAAATATCCGGGGTGTGTGTCCCCCATCCTTTGTACTGGTAACTTCTGAACTTGATGTGCGTGAACATCAACCAACAGTATTTGCAGAATATTCTCCGCGAGTCATTGTCCTTGGCAGGTCTTGGTAAGCCTTCACAGTACTTCTTGACCGCTTTTTCCATTTCCGGCAATCCGGAGCTTTATGCCCGTCCGTGCCTTTGCAATAGAAGCAATGCATGTACTTTGTGCTCTGAAACGCTTCTTTGTTGAGCCATTGTGGATTCACCTTACTCGTCTTCTCTGGTGGTTCTCCTTCAGGCTCGCTTGGCTTCGTCTTGCTAAGATCCAACTTTGCTTGCGCTGCCTTCTCTATCACTTCATCAGGGATCTCTCTGAACGTTCGCTTCAACTTCTCCTTCAAATCCAACTGCTTCTCCAAAGTATTCGCTGCCTTTCTTTCTTCTTCAGAAACTTCTGCCTTGAGGTGCTTGAACTTATCTGGCAACTTCTTTGGCATTGGCTTTGCCTTGGTAGATGGCGTTGCTGGGCTGCTCGTTTCCTGCTTTCTTTTGATGCTAGCCATCAACTGGGCTAGAGCTTTTCGCTCCCTTTCTTGATCCTCTTCCGGCTTCTTATACAGGTCTAGCGGAAACTCCGCATTCATCGTCTTCAACAATCTATCCGCTGTTTGAACCATTTCGCCGAATTTCTCTAGCGCTTCTCTTGCATGCACTGTCTTTTGAACATCTGCACGCGCGCTTACAACTCCTTCTTTCTTTTCTCGGAGGATCTTCACTTTTGCTTCCAGTCGTTCCTCCATCTCTTTCTTGAGCTCTTTCTCGAACCTTTCCAGGTCCTTCTTGGCTTGCTTGTACTCTTTCTCTGCATTTGTCTCGTCTTCTGTCATAATTGAGACACTTTCGACGTAGTCTCCGATCTCACCTTCGATTTTCGAGAGTAGGTCATTCGTTCTTAAACCGAATCCTGTTGGTAGCCGTGCTACCGGTCTTCGAATGGCTTCTTGCCACGCGGTAAACTCCTTCTCCAAGCTTTCAGTCGGTAAGCTCTTCTGAACACTTTGCAAGTTAGTGCTCCCCATTACCGTCTCGAAGATTGACATCTTCTCTACATCTGAAAGTTTAAACCCTTAAACCAGTATCCTTGTTACAGCACGGCGCGAGCTTCGGAATCTTTTCTCACTACACGCTCTGCTGTCAGGCTGTCTTGAGCCTACGTTTGACCTACGGAGATACGCAGTGAAACTGGTGCTAAATCGGGCATGAGGGAAAATTGAACATTCTGTTACGCCCTCATCACGTACACAGCATTGTCGTGTCACGTGATTCTGTGAAACTTTTTCCTAACTTTTGTACTACTCTTGCTTCTGTTTTCGCATGCTCCTGTGAGCCTTCATCTTCACTTCTCGCACGCTTCTTTAAGCACTTGTGGGACATCTTTATCATCTTCTTCCTTTGGTCTTCATCCTCACTCTTCTGATGTCCTATAGCAGATTTGCGAATTTGCTTTCCACACACATTTGGCATGGACTCACTCCACTCTACGTGCACACTCACTTTTTCTGTACGTCGCTGTACGCGAGGTAGTCGTAGTCCATCCTTGCCCTTCGGCAATCTGGAAACTTTTGTCGGACTTTTGTCTTTAGTCCTTTCTGTAAACATTGACTTTTGAATTCATCGTGGTGCTCGTAGTGACTTGACGTTGCCGTGGGACTTTCGTCCACGTGGCTTTTGTCGTTGCCGTGGGATTTTGCATCCTCGTGGCTTCTTGCATTGCCGTGGGATTTCCATCCTCGTGGCTTCTGCCTTTTGCTTTTGTGAAACGTTTGCCTTGGCTGATTTCAGCCTCACTTTCGCCTTGCTGGGCGTCTTTGTGAACGCCCTCACTCTTCTTGCTTCTTTAAACCGTCGCCGCAGTTTACATAAGCTTTTGTTCATTCCGCTGGCGTCTCTCAGCTCTTTCTTGATCGAACGGAGATACGCTCTTACGCTTCTTCTCCTTTTCAACCTTCTTTGTCTTCTCAGTCTTGTCAGGTTTCTTCTCCTTGTCCTTGTCTTTGCTCTTGGACTTTTCCACTGGCTTCTTCTTCTTTGGATCTTTTTCTTCTATCTTCTTCACAGTCTTTTCTTCAGTCTTTGCCTCTTCACTTTTCTTGGGCTTCTTGGGTTCTGCTCCCCAACTGTCTTTTGGTTTGTATCCTATGCCCAATGTCTCTTGGAAATCTTTCAATTCCTTTTCATACTTGTATGCATTATCCTCCAGATAGCTTCTCACTTGGTCCTTGTAATTGCAGATGTCTGGGGTATGGGTACCCCAGCCAGTATATCTGAATGACCTTCCGGCCATCTTCTGGAAGTAGATATAACATACCTTGCAGAAAATCTTGTGAGCGGTGTTGCTGGCTTCGGGCCGCTCTCCGCTGTAATACATTCGCACAGCTTGTTCCATCAGAGGACACTCAGTCGCTCTGTGGTCGGTTGACTGCTTGCAGTAATAGCAGTTCTGGTATCTTGTCTTCTTGTAAGATTCTTCCTTTTGATCCCCTTGGCCTTTGAGCCAATACGGATTCACTTGCCTCTTTGGTGGCGTTCCTTCTGGTTCGCTTGGCTTGTCTTTTGCATGATCAACTTTTGCCCTTGCTGCTCTGTCGATCATCTCATCTGTTGCTTCTGCGAAACGCTCTTGCAGCTTGCGCTTCAGCTCCAACTGCTTTTCCTTCGTGTTCGCTGCACTTCTCTCTTCTTCAGAAATAGCTAATCCTTCTTTGATAACGCTTGGTGCTTTCTTCGGCATCGCTTTGACCTTTGCTGCCGGTGTTGACGGATTACTTCCTTCACTTTTCTTCTTGATCATCGTCAAAAGCTTTGCTAAGGCCTGTCTTTCTTTCTCCTTGTCTGGATCTGGCCTCTTGTACAAGTCTAGGTCCTTGAATTCTTCACTTAAGGCTGACAGTAGCTTGTCTGCCATCTGTACAACTTGACCTAGCTGTTCTAATGCGCTTTTCACGTTGTTCGTCTTCTCAACGTCTCCTCTTGCTGCGACTGCGTCGTCTTCAAGTTCTCGAACCTTCTTCATCCTTACTTCAAGCTTTTCTCTCATCTCCTTCTTGAGCTCCTTCTCATAAAGGTCCATTTCTTCTCTTGCTTGCTTGTAAGCTTCTTCAGCTTTACGCTCGTCCTCGGTGAGCGTTGACATGCTTTCTATGTATCCTTGCACGTCGTCT